ATTTTTATCATACAAGGAATGCATGTTCACTGTAAAAATATTGAAAAATACATTGAAATATATGTTGAATGTATTGAAAAATACATTGAACTATATAGTTTTCCTACCCATACATGACATTCTGGAAATGGAGTTGAGGGTTTTTGTGGTTTTCTGTTTTTTGTTCCACTCTTTTCTCTTTGCATACACACAGAGAGGTTTGTGTGTTTGTGTCAAAACAAGTTTTTAGAAAACTGGAAATATACTATATTCATTGCTTCATATCATGTATTCAAAAATTTCTCTAGCACTTTTGTTTTATTACAATAAGCAGTGCATGTTTGTTACAGGAAGTATGTAAAACAAATTTTGATTTTCTGCATAGAAGATTTGGTTGAGGGTGAGTTTATAATATGTACATATGGAGAAGTAAAAATATAATCCCAAAGTTATATAAACATGTAAAACCCTGAAAAATTCATTTAAAAGAATTTAAATATAGATGAGCAAATGGAAGACACGAATTATCAAAAATGTAAAGTTAGACAAAATGAAAAAAATAAAAATTATCAAAAATTCCATTCACAAATGCTAAAGAAAATGTTTTGGAAAATATATCTGTCTTTTTTATATGAAAATGTACACTTTTTTTCTTTTACAAAATTAAACCAAACCTACCTACATAGTACGGTTTGTCACCAATTCTCCACTTACTATCAGTAATATCAAAAATATTTTCTTCATGAATTTCAACAATATTTAAATGTCATTGAAATTTTTATTGGAATTGCCTTGAATCTGTAATTTACTTTGGATAGGATGGCCATTATGATAATTTTTATTCCTCCAATCCATGAATATGAATATTTTTCCATTTCTTTTTGGCTGCTTCTATAATGTTTCCTTTAGCAATGTTTTATAATTTTCCTTGTACGGGTCATTCAACTCTTTTATTAGGTTTATTCCCAGGTATTTAATTATTCTTGCTACAATTGTAAATGAAAATTTTTTAACCTTTTCCCTTTCAGGCTGATTTTTTTTTGCATATAGGAAGGCTACTGATTCTTTTTGTGTTTATCTTGCAAGCTTATACTTTCATAAACATGTCTTAATTAGTTTTTCTGTGGAATTTTAGGATTTTTATATATACATATATAATCATAACATTTGCAAATGATGATGTTCCACTTCTTCTTTCCTTATTGGGTTCCTTGTAGGACTTTCTCTTCCCTAATTGCTATGGCTAGGACTTTCAGTATTATATTGAAAAGCAGTACTGAGAATAGACAGCTCTGTCTTTTTCGATCTTAATGAAAAGGATTTCATATTATCACCATTAAGAATGACGTAGGGCGTGGGTTTGTCATATATGCTTTTATTATGTTAAGGTATGATATTTTATTCCCAGGTTTTTTGAGGTAATTCATAATAAATAAATGTGGGACTTTATCAAATGCTTTCTCAGTATCTATTATTATGATGATATGGTTTTTATTGTTCTTTTTTGTTGTTATGGTGAATTAATTGATTTTTGGATATTGAGCAACCTTTGTGTTCCTGAAATAAATTCCACTTGATCATAGGATATAATCCTTTAGATACATTCTTGGATTTGGCTTGCTAAGATTTTACTGAGTATTTTAGCATCAGTATTCATTAGGGAGATTGAACTATAATTTTCTCTATGTGTTTTCTTTGATTTTGTTATTAGAGTAATATTGGTTACCTAAAATGTATTTGTTTGTATTCCTTCCTCCTCCACTTTCTGAAAGACCTTTTCTAGATTAGGTGCCAGTTAATCTTTGAATGTTTCGTAGAACTTGCTTGTAGAAATGATCTGGTCCTGGGCTTTTTTTTTGGGGGGGGGGTTGATTAGCATTTCAATTTTCCTGATTGTAAATTATTTGTTCTAATTTTATATTTCTACTTTACTCAGCTTTTGGTGATTGTATAATTCTAAGAATTTGTTCTCTAATCTAGACTGTTGAACTTGTTTTCACGTAAATGCTCACAGTAATCTGTAATTTTCATCTGGAATCTGCTGTGTCTATTGTAATTTCCCTTTCATTTATGATCCTATCTATTTGAACTTTCTCTCCCTTTTTCTTTGTGAACCTAGCTAGAGGTTTGTCTGTTTGTTTATTCAAGTAAAAAACTTTTTAAAAAATAATATATATTTAATGGAAGAATTGGGGTGTAAGCCAGAGGTACAGGGGGTAAGAAGTTAAATCAGACACAGAGTGGGAAGTAAAAAAGGCAGTTTCACTGAAATACACTTCTAAGGGAAGGAACTGATGAGACAGGTGAGGTCTTTTGTGTCAAGTGCGTTAGCTCTCTGGACAGGGATTAAATTCAGGCCATGGCAGTGATAGTGCTGATTCTGACCCCTATACCGCCAGGGAGAATCAAAACTTTTGGTTTAATTGATCTTCTGGATTATCTCTTTTATTTATTTATTTTTTAATTAAAATTTTTTTCTTTCTTCAATTTTTTTTATTGTTCTTTCACAGGTTCCTTGAGATTGGAGATTAGTTTGTTTCTTTGGGTTCTTCCTGTTTCTTGATTGTAGGTCTGTATTCTATATATTTTCCTCTTAATACTGCATTTGGTGTATTCCACACATACCAAAATGTTGTATCCTCATTTTCATTTTTCTTAAGGTTTTTAAAATTTTTTTCTTTGATTTCCTCATCAGCCAAGTAGTCTTTCAGTAGTGTATTTTCCAGTCTCCTTGTAATGGGGGAGCTCCTTGCTTTCTTTTCATAGTTGATTTCTGGTATGTTGCCTTTATGGTCAGAGAAGTTTCTTGGTATGAGTTCAGTCTTCATGCACTTGTTGATGCTTGTCTTGTGATGCAGTATGTGATCAATTATGGAGAATGATCTATTTGCACCTGAGAGAAATGTCTATTAATTTTTAGTGGCACAATGTGCTATAGATTTGACCCATTTGGTCTAGATTTTTATTTAGGGCTATTGTATCCTTGTTTATTTTTTGTCTTGTTGATCTATACATTTGTGAGTGTGGGGTGTTGAAGTCTTCTACCACATATGAACTTTCTCCAATGTCTGTTTCTATAGATGATAGTAGTTGTCTAATATATTTTGGTACTCCTTCATATAGTGAGTATATGTTGATGAGTGTTATGTCTTCCTGGTGTATTGTCACCTTCATCATTATACTGTGCCCATCTAAGTGTCTTGTCATATTTTTAAGCTTGAAATTACACCCTGAATAGCCAAAGCTATCCTGACTAAAAGGAGAAAGACCAGAGGTATTACACTCCCAGACTGAAAATTATACTGCAAAGCCATAATAATAAATAAGCATGGTATTAGAACAAAAGCAGGCACACAGACCAATAGAGTAAAATTAAAAGCCCAGAAATAAAATCTCACAAATGTATTCAACTAAGCGATGACAAAGAAATAAAGAATATACACTTGAATAAGGAAAAGTCCATCAAAAGAGAGAGTAACCAAAACCAACATTCCCTCAGAATGTGAAAAAATATTTGGATACCATAGAACTGATAAGCAAACAACCCAGTCAAAATACAGGCAAGAGAACTGAAAAGAAGAAATAGAAATGGCCAACAAACGTATGAAAAAATATTGAACATAACTTATGATCAGGGAAAAATAAATCAAAACTTCAATGAAATAATACTTCACACCTGTGAGTGTGGTCTATGTTAAAAAAACTAGAAACAACAAACGCTGTTGGATGATAAAGAGGAAAAGGAACTCTCTTATATAGATTATGGGAATGTAACTTACGCAGCCACTATAAAAGCTGTGTGGATGTTCTTGAAAACACTCAAAATGGATATGCTGTATAAACCAGGGATTTCATTCCTAAGACTCTACCCTAAGAACACTGGGATACTAATTCAAAAGAACACTTGAACTCCTATGTTTACTGCAGCACAATTTGCAATTGCTAAGATATGGAAACAATCCAAATTCCCCAAAACAGATGAATGGGCAAGAAAATGTAGTCTATGTCCACAATAGAATACTACTCAGAAATCCAAAAAGATAAGCTCATACCATTTGCAGCAACATTGATAGAGCTAGAAGGAATTGTGGTAAACAAAATAAGTCACAAAGAAAAAAAGATAAATACCAATTGGTTTCATTTATATGTGCACTATAGAGAAATTGAATCAAGGTTCAACAAAAAGACAAAACTTGAAAGTTGACTATTGATCTGAGGCATATAGAACAGGAGGGGCAGAAGGAGAAGTCAAAATGGTGGTAAAGAGAATAATGGAACTGGGATATTTATCACGGGGTGCTATGTTATAAGGGAGAACTGGGGACTACACCTGAGGAGTGAAGTCAAATAGTGTACAAAATATGAACAATAATATAAGAAAATAAATAAATTCAGTAATAATAATAATAATAAATTCTATTTTAGTTTCAGTGGATTTGTAACATTTATTGTAGGATTAGATTGAATGATTACTCTAATCCTCAACTGTTAATCATATGGGTTGCCTACATATTTAAAATTATAAATTTTACGTTGTTTACCATCCTTCTATTTGTACCCATCCATACATATTTCTTTTTTTTTTTTTTTAAGATTTTATTTATTTACTCATACAGAACTGGGGTAAAGGCCAGAAGTGCAGGGGTGGTGAGAAGATTCACCAGAGACAGAGTGGGGAGCAGAACAGGCCAACTGATGAAGTACACTGCTGAGGGGAGCAGTGGGCGGGTCAGGAGAGGTCTGCCGTGCCATGTGGATCACCTCTGGGATGGGGATCGAACTCATGCTGAAGTTGCTTTAGCTTCTCAGTGCTGTGCTTTAACCCTCTGTGTCACCAGGGAGGGCCCTCCATTCATACATAATTCTTGTAATGCATTGTTAGAAGTATAATTGCCCTCCAATGCATGTATTAAATAAATTTTTATTTGTTTTCTTTTAAAATAGAAATTGATACCTAAGTGATCTAAAATAAACATTCTAAAAAGTTTTCAGGAATAAAAAAAATCATTGTTTTTCTACAGAAGAGTCTACTGAAATGGTTCCAAATGAGGCAAGGGCTCATAAGGAGGAGGACCACCATGCAGTATCCACAGATAATGTGGTACGTATTTTTAAAAATTATTTCTTCATTGCATGATGGATTTCAGTGATAGGTTTCCAGTTGGTGGCAATATAAACATTGTCAGAATACAGTCTTGTGCTTAAGAAGTGGAAGCGGAGCTTTTGTCAATGAAATTGTATATCTTTAAGTATATAATACATGAAATTTATAGTTCTGTCATTTGAACTTTTTTTAATTTAGGAGCTTTGCAAATATAAAAGCCCAATACTTACTCACATAGGACATTTTGTACATAAAAAGCAATTTTTGTTTAGGAATTTTAGCAACAAGCAGATTTCTTCTCATTTGACAAATGGTAGGATTAAAAGAAAAGTTAGCCTGAGATTATGAAAGAAACATTCCGTTAGTTCTGGAACTTTTCTCCAAGTATTCCTGACTCTAAGTTCTCTTTTCAGACCATACCTATACATATTGAGCCTGGAACTCTTTCTTCTTTCTAGTTAAACTACACTCTGCTAGTATAATTACTAACAGTGGAGTAAAGACAACATGAAACAATTGAATGACAGACTATGAGTTAAGCTGGGTTTTATGAAAATATAAACGTTTTTGATTTATAAAGACATTCTCTAGGCAGTTATTTTAGAAGCATCTATTTATATCCTGACTGTGTCAAGTAATACAAAAATCAAGATGGTTAACCATGAGAAAAATGTCATTGTGTTTTTGCTTTTGAAAAAGTGTTTTGTGCTTGATTGCAACCTTCAAAACTGGTCCCTCTAATGTTTTTGATGTTGTTACAAAATATCTGTAACTTTAAGACTTATGGTGATTTCTATTACAAGCATTATTTGTCGGAAACTGTAACTACCACATCTCCTTAATAAAAATTGACCAAATAATATACAGTTCCATTCTTTGATGTTTAACATCAATGATATATAACAGTGTTTTCCGCAGGCAGAATATGCTTTAGATTTGCACTGTAATGAATTCAGTTCTGAATTAAGTTGATGTTTAACCCTACTCACACAAAATTCAGTATTCACATAGGAAAACAAGTTTTCCGTAAAGTCATGTTTTCATTAGCTAATGAACAATAATTGTTTTCTACAATTACTTGTGCTAATATTTTCAAATTTCACCAAGTAATAATGACCTTTTCTCTAAACTTGAATTATATGAATTACAATTATTTAAAAATTGGACCACCTTTCCCCTAAAGGCATGCTCAATTTTAGCCTGAATTTCTCTTCATTTATCTCTCCTTCAGCAGATATTTGAAGATAATGAAGGAAACCATGCCATCCGCTGAATCACAATCATTTAAGCACGTAATTGTTCGAGGGCAATTGATTTACAGAGACAAAACTCCAAAAGTTCAAAAATGTGTACCTTCTGTCTATAACTTTTGAATGCCTCAAGTTATTTGTGGATGACAAATCACCAAGACATATATGATTCATTTATGTGCACGAATCTATACAGTGGCATACACCTTCATCCCATGGGTTATTCAGCTCCTTTATTCCTGGAACCAAATCAAATAGGTAGAAAATGTAAAAGACAGCATCAAACAAATTACATTTGAGGTTTAATCATTGTTAACACAATTAAACTGCAAGTTTATGGTGATTATAGTAGAAAACAATACATTAGATTTATCATTAGGCTACAGTAGAAAGAAATTTTGTTATATCTGTTCTCCTGGCTCAGAGCTCTGCAGGTCACAAATCCTGTTATAGTGTCATCTCCTCATAAGCAATGGATCAAATAAAATCATTCCCTATATGTTTGTGACTTTTAATTACTACATACTTTCCTGACTAAAAAATTCAATTTCACATTCTGCCTAGGACATACTTGTATTAATGTACTCTTTCTTAAAAGATTGACTAATGATGATCTCAAGCTAATTTTTTAGCTTTTAAATTTGCGGAAGGTTGACAGTTTGCATGTTTAGAAGTGTTTTCATCTGCCAAAGAAAAATTTGCCATTGATTTTATCTTTCGGTTTTGCTTTTATTAAAATCAAATTTCCATGATTAAAGAATTTACCTTGCTTCCATGTTTGCAGCTTATTGGTCATTCTTTCCTTCAGTGCTAAGCTGTTTTGTTTATTCATGTGGCAGAAATTTGATTAGTACCTACTGTGTGCAGAATACTTTATAAACTATACTGCACCTGAATTCTAAAGATTCTAAATCTCATTGAAGTTTATCTCCTCTCTCTTTACCTCCCCTGCCTTCTCCTTCCTCCTCCCTTTCTCCCTCCCTCCTTCTCGCTCTTTCTTTTTCTTTCTTTAACTCCTCCCCACTCCCTGTACTGTCCAATGATGGAAACAAGTTGCCATATAATTATATAATAAATGTCTGCCTGCTTCAAATTGTCTAGCTAATGAATTATAATAAGTGATTTTTAAAAGGTGTTTGTTGACATTTTAGATTAGAAGTTTTTTTTTTTAATGTGAGATTTAAAAAACAGCTTCTACCAATTAGATACGGTTACTATGAAGTATACCAACCTTATCAAAAGTAAATTCTCTGTCACTGGAGCTTAAATTTAGGTGGAAATTCAATGTCTATCTTTTTAAGAGATATTGTGAAATAATATATTATATTTTCTACTTTAAAAGTATTAAGATAAGTTTCTAGTTACTAAGCAGTCATCAGTTAATGGCACAGGGAATTTGCTAAGAAATAGGCTGAGTTTAACATTGAGCAGTAGGTGACGTACCAGAATTTATTCTAAATGACCTAGTTGAGATAATCCCATAACTAAATTGAATACAAAAACTGCATATGAATTTATTCAATTTGTATATGTTCAGTTGAGTGTTGTGATGATGATCAGACATGTTTATAAAAACCTTTTTGCTTGCGTTACAGAAAATAGAAATTATTGATGATGAAGAAAGTGACATGATAAGTAATTCTGAAGTTGAACAGGTGAATTCTCTCCTGGATTATAAGGTAAAAACAATTTCAAATTCTGCATTTATAAAAGATGTTAAATGAGACAGATTTAAAAAAAAATATTTAATTATTTATACATACAGAATTGGGTACAGGCCAGAGGTGCAGGGACAGTGACAGGATTCGCTAGAGACAGGGTGGGGAGCAGAAAAGGCTGACTGACAAAGTACACTGCTGAGGGGAGCAGCAGGCAGGTCAGGAGAGGTCTGCTGTGCCATGTGGGTCACCTCTGGGGCAGGGACTGAACTCATGCTGAAGTGGCTTTAGCTTCTTAGTGCTGCACTTTAACTCACCACACCACCAGGGAGGGCCTGAGACAGATTTTTGTAGTACTTGTAACTTATTCATTCCTTGGTAAATTAAAAATCCTGGGCTTCTGTTGACTTTCAGGCAATTTGAATACCATTCAAGGCACCAGGCATTTTAGTTAATGCTGGCTCCTTTAGTGCTAATGGTTTTAAGTAGAGTTGGCTGACACTATGGAAAGCTATTTGAAGCTTCCTGAAGACACTAAAAATGATGTACCATATCACCGAATGATTCCACTCCTAGGAATCTACCCAAAGGACACAAAAACACGAATTCAAAAGGAAACCTGCACTCCAATGTTTATTGCAGTGCTATTTACAATAGCGAAGATATGGAATTAAACTAAATACCCCCCAAATAGATGAATGGATCAAGTAAATGTGTTATATATACAAAATACAATTGTACTCAACTATCAAGCTAAATTCATGCCATTTACAGCAACCTGGATAGATAGACATGGAAGGGATTATGTTAAGCTAAATAAGCCAGAGTGAAAAAGATAAATATCAGATGGTCTCACAGATATGTGGAATATAGAGAAACTGAAGAAAGGGGCAGGAAAAAAGACAAAACTTTCAAGCTGACCACACATCTGAGGCATAGGGCAAGGTAGAGGGAAGAAGGGGGATCAAAAGAGAAGGGAGAAGAGCATAAAGGACTGGGTAGATTTATCACTGGGGATCTGTTGGTGGGAAACTATGGGGACTACATCTGAGGCTTGAAATCAATTGTGTGCAAAAATTAACAATGATGTAGGAAAGGAATTAAAAATAATGAAGAATGGAAAGGAAACAAATTGGCTGAGAAGGAGTAGGTATTGATGGAACATGGCAGAGTAAGGAATTTCATTGTGGTGGTTAATGTGAAATACATGACAATTATTTTATTTTAATGTCCAAGATGTTTATGTTTAGTGTTTATTTTTTTTGTCCCAAGACTCTTGTTGATAGGTGCATTTTTGAGTTAACACTCCTCCACTTCATAATAGCAGAATTTTTTTGTTTTTAATTAATATTTTAAAATTTCTTTATTCAATTATTTTGTATTGAATTAACGAACATTGATTTACAACATCGTATATATTTTAGAGGTGTAGGTTCCTACCTCTTTTGCATGTATGTCACCATACCACAACTACCACCAACACTCATAGTTCTCCATAATATCTGCCTTTAAATTGTGATAAAGAGATTTTTTCCAGTGTTCCTTACTAATTTTATCTTTTTAATTATAACTTTTGAAGATTTTTTATATAATAGTATAGCTATTTTAGGAGACATTCCAAAACAATCTCTAAAACAATTACCAAATTAGTATGAAAAGATTCGCAATTTTCTGAAAGTCATTCTTTACTAAATTGACAGACTAACTTTGATAGTGTTTTTATTACATTTTGACATAAACTATTAGTCTGTGTGTCAGTTTGTTTACTGAACATATGTGTAAATGTTATTCATTTGTTAAACTGTATACAAATTTACTAGGTAAGTTGGAGGCTTTCTGAAATGTTCATGTTTTCCATAAACAGATTTTTTTTCTTGAAATGTCATAAATGTTCAAACTAGAGACCAGTGAACTTAAAATGTTAGCAGAAAATAACATTTATTCAGAAAAATAACAGCTGTCATTTTCCAAAAATTCTTTTCAGTTTTACTATAATTGAAAATTATGTCATTCAACAGTTTGTTTTCCAAATGCTCACAACACGTTAGACTTTAAAATACTGAACACTGTAAATACAGAAGGAAACTATCTTTTGAAATTTATTTACTAATTTGTCAGAGTACAATGCTTTCCACTACTTAAATTGTACTTCCAACTGAAGTGATAAAGAAAATATAATGCCTAACAGAATTATAAAGTTGATTCAATACCAGAATAGATTTATAATTTCTCCAACAAGGATGTAAATATTTCTAAATGTCCAGCAAAGGATTAAAACATCTCAGCAAACCCTCATTTGGCATAAGCAATGGAGAGTACAACCGAAAGGACAGATTTGTAGTGTTTTGTTTTTTTTTTTAATAAGATTTATTTACTTGTGCATACAGAACTGAGGTACAGGCCAGAGGCTCAGGGGCGGTGAGAGGCTTCACCAGAGACAGAGTGGGGAACAGAACAGGCAGATCAACGAAGTACACTGCTGAGGGGAGCAGCGGGCGGGTCAGGAGAGGTCTGCCACACCATGTGGTCACCTCCAGGGCAGGCGGGAATGTACTCATGCAGAAGCGGCCTTAGATTCTCAGTGCTGTGCTTTAACCCGCTGTGCCACCAGGGAGGGCCTGGAGTGTTTTTTTTTTTTTAAGATTTATTTATTTATTCATACAAAACTGGGGTACAAGCCAGAAGTGCAGAGGTGGTGAGAGGTTTCACCAGAGGAGCAAAACAGGCAGATGGAGGAAGTACATTGCTGAGGGGTGTAGTGGGAGACAGGAGAGATCTGCTGCACCAAGTGGGACCCCTCCGGAGATTGGGAACAAACTTGCACTGAAGTAGCTGCAGCTAGCTTGCAGTGCTGCGTCCTAACCCGTTGTGCCACAAGAAAGGACCCAGAATTGTACAGTTTTTAAATGTTCTGCTTAGTACTCATGCAGGTCAGAGAGATACTGTTGGGTCTCGGTGGAACTTGGAGGATTCTTTCCAGGGCCGTTTCCTTCTGGAGTGGCAGCCTACTTAAGCATCTCAGCATAGTTAGGGCTGAAGGTTAGGATTAGGCAGAGTATACAATCATAAAATAATTATTAACATATTCATTGTACTCTAAAGGATACTTACTGATTCAGTGTTTTCCATTTTGGTAAATGCTGTCAGAAAAATGGTCCTTCATTTTCCTTCATTTAGGGGAACCCATGACCATCGGACGTAAACTTCTTGTTCACTTTCTAAAACCAACACCTATATAGAAATTACATCTTTTTATTGATAATTATTAAAAATATTTCAGTTCACTCCATCTGTGAATTAACTTTAATGCTAAAGTTAAGACTCCAGAAAACCTCATATCAGTTATAATTGCTGATTTCAAGCTGTTTATTTAAAACAACTGTATTAATATGGAAATTTAATTTTTCTCCAGTGAACTCTGTTATACTTTATTTGCATACACATGCTAATATTCTTGATTTGAGATCAAAATCACTTGGTTGATTTCTTAGGTATATTTATCATAAAGTTCTTGAAGACAGGCATATCCCAAGTTTCTGATCTAGTGTTTAGTAATTAATTCCTGAGTGAGTGGATAGATTAATTTATTCTTGCAAGTACTTTTTATACTATTATGCAAGTATCCGTTTATATAAAATCAATTAAGATCAGAAATTGGATCATTATACAATTTTCCTACACTAAAGTCTCTCATTATTCTTGTGGTTCATTGTAGCACAATGAAAGAATGTCTCCTATATACTGCTGATAAATATCAGTATTAAGTCTGGTTATAGTAAAGCTTCTGATTGAGACATATTGCTAAAAATCCATATTTCTGGGATTTCTAATTAACACAACATGCTTATGAGACAAGTTGGTGTGCTCATTCCCTAGACTAGAATAACTGTCATAAAATAACACCTTAGGTTTGGCAGCCATTAATAGCCTGTTTGGAGATCAAAACTCTAGTCTCAAGTGTTCCATACAATTATCTTGAAAAAGAATTGGCAAAGTTTATTTGGAATGTTGGGAAGATTTTAACAAGAAAAATGAGTTCAGGTTTTGTTTTGTGGAATTCAGTAGCTGATATTATCATTTTAGTTCCTTTCACAAACTTTCCATTTATGTAAAAAAATCTCTAACGTATACATAAATTACTGCTTATGATCTAGGAAGTTTTTAATAGTGTTGCAAAAGCAGCTCTAAGAAGAAAATGTATGCAAATTAATTTTCTTAAGTCAGTTTATGTTTTACAAATATTGCATAAATACTGAAGAGGAGGAATATACACATGAGAAATTAAATATCTGAATCCTAAAAGATTATTCCTGGCTTTTGCAAATATGAATTAATATCTTTAAAATGTTTTCTAATGGACTGTGAGTGTAGCTCAAAAGGACTCTACATTAAAATTAGACAACACTAAAGATGATAGATATCTCCTGTGTACTTGGAAAAAGATTTCTTAGTCAGTAATTTACTAATACTGCTTTCACAATGAATACTGAAAAATTAAACGTCAGGATTGTTCAAATACATTATGGCAGAAACATGTTGAATTGTTTTATAGTACTTATTTGGAACTTATATTGCTGTAGCATGCCTCAGCAAAAGGAATTTAGCTTGGATTATCATTTGCAAATGATTAACTTTTGTTAAATGGTCTGCATAGGAAACAGTTTATTAGGTGTAATATGTTCTAAAGTGAGCTGAAAAAGCAATTGATGCAATGAACACATCCATAAATTGAATGTGATTACTTCAACTGCCTCCTCTCAATTGAAATAAGCATACCCATAGAACTAACTAAATTTAATATATTTTGCATAATTTTTGAATAAATCTTGCTACACAGTTACTACTGTTATCTTTCACACTACTTCTCCAACTACAAAGAATATTCATAACTTAATGATTTTTGGCAAGGTGTTGACTAATAATTTATTTTTTAAAACATTCAGTTTAATTAATTCACAAGACCTGCAGACCCTTTTACTGGTTTGTTTTTTGTTTGTTTTTAATTGTTTTTTTATTGATATAATTTTCATACAATAAAATTCACTTCTTTATATATTTAAACGAGTTGTAAACAGTATGTTTATATGACTGCCAATTTGTTTATTTACCTCCTGATGAAGACTTGTGTTGTTTCCAGGTTTAGGCTATTATCAATAAAACTGTTATGAACATTAATGTGTGTCTTTTTGTGGGTATATATTTTCATTTTCTTTGGGTAAATACTTAAGAGGACTATATGCACATTTTGCTGGTGGTTGTGGTGTGGAAACAGTACCGTAAGGGGGAAATCTTAAACCTCTAAAACACACACACACACACACACAAAACACAAACCAATTACCTCTATTAAAAAAAATACTTGGTAGTAGGACTACCAAGTCATATGGTAAGAAAGAAATGTTTAATTTTACAGGAATCTGCCAAAATGTTTTCCTGTGTTTCTTAAACATTTCAAAGGTCTGTGTCATTTACATTCCCAGCAGGAATAAATGAAGCTTCAAATTGCTCTACATTTTTATCAATACTTATATTGTATTATGTTAGTAGTAGTATCTAACTGTACATTTCATTTGTATTTACTTAGTAAGAAATAATATTAAGCATTTTCATGTGATTTTTGCTTATTCATGTACATTCCTTGATGAAGAATATATTCCAGATATTTTTGCCGGCTTCTTATTCTGTCGTTCCTATGATTGTGTTGAAAAAGTTATTTATATTATCTGACAGTAAGTGTTTTACACATGATTTCAAAATATTTTCTTTCAATATGTAACTTGTATTATTCTAAGTGCCTTTTGAAGAGCAAAAGTTTTTATTTTGATGATATCTTTAAGTTTTATGCTTTATTTTTGCTATTGACAAATTTTTGCCTAACCTCAGGACACAAAAATTCACTCTGTTTTCCTCTACAAGTTTTATATTCCTAGGTTTTACACTTGGATCTATGACCCATTTCTTAATAAACTTTGTATATTATGTAAGTGTAAGGGTTGATATTCTTTTCCTTTGGGGGCACTATGGATTTCATTTGTTCAACCAATGGATTTGAAATAAATTGGTTGATATATGTGTAATCTATGTGTTTATAAATGATATGTATTTTTGTACTGTGCTATGCATATATCTTTTCTGTTCCATTCATCTATATGCTCATTGTCTTTACCACACTTTCTTAATTACTACAATTTTAGTAGTAAATCCTCAGAGGACATTTTTATGACTACTCTCTTAGTTGAGCCTAGAAATGCCAAAGAGCACTAGTATTTATTTATTTTACTGATTTGTAAACAGGTTGATTTACCTACACAGGCTTTCACAATTACTAATGAACCTGGCATTAAATGCTGATATCTAGTGTATTAGTGTATTGTTCTTTTCCTACACAACTAGCAAAAGTAATAGAGATTAGTTTTCAATCAATATACTGAAAATAGGAGTCAACAAACTCCCACATAATAAAGACAGGTTGGAAGGCAGCAAAAATCTTACAACATTCTTAGTAATAAACTCAGTATCTCCTTGGTTAAAAAACATGGTAAACTTTTTTCAGTCCTCAGTATTTGTTTTTGGGAATGGTACATTCAGTGTTACTACATCTGCTATTGCTCTTTACTTGGGGCTCATTGGACTATGCTTTGTCTTAATGCAAGTGCTTACTAGGTTTAATACATGAGGAATATTTCCAAGAAAGGAAATATTTATTGCACTTTTTTTCTTACTGGACTTTATTAAATTGGATTGAATTTTTGACCTTGAAAATGGTTGTCTGTTGGTGATTTCCTTAAAAGTCAGCCTTACAGTGATCAGATAATCTCCTTCAGAATTTTATATTTCTTTGGATAAAATATAATCTACTTTTTTAAGCCTCCAATTTGTCAACTTAAAAAAAAAGTTATTGTGCATCAAACATGTACAGTCCAGTTTTGCAGTGGTAATTGTATTGTTTAATGTTTTCTCCTTCAGAATGAAGAAGTAAGATTCATTGAAAATGAGCTAGAAATTCAAAAGCAAAAGTACTTTAAGCTTCAGACATTTGTTAGGAGCTTGATACTAGCTATGAAAGCTGACGATAAGGAACAACAACAGGTAGGTGCTAGAAAAGATGACTAGTAAACTAATGTATCATGTTGAAAAATGGTATGTCACACATTGGTTCTTCATTTTTGTTTTCATTTTTAAATTTTGTTGCTGGTAGACATGAAGAAGTATTTGTTACTTCATGACCTTTATTAGCACAGTATTATTGAGAGTAGACATTCAGATTTTATGTTGCTTTAGTGAGAAATCAAAATAACTGATTAATATACTTTATTAATTGCAAGCTAGCCTTAAGAAGGGGAAAATAAATATTAAATTAATTTAAGGAAATTGTGGAGATAGAGCTACTCTAATTGGGGAAGCACATATTTTGAGCTTTTTTAAATGAAAGAGGGTTAAGGCATTTGCCTCTCTTCTGTATTTTATTTAATTTCCATCCCTCACTAAAGTTCATAGATCTTTGAGTAATCTCTACTTCACAATATATTATTCATCACTATGAAAATGTGAAAATCTTTATGACAACAGTGCATTGTTTACTTTTCCCAGTTTTCCCAGTCTTATCATTGCAGGTGAAATTTGTTTAGTAATTTACTAAGCTTGTTAGAAAGAATTACAGAATTGAATTTAATATTGCATTCGATACTAAATGATGCCAACTTTGCCTCTAAATTGTATACTATTGTGTTAATTCTTTGTCAGAGAAATTTAATATAAGTAGTACATAACAGATAACCATTAATTTGGAAGAATTTATAGAGAGCTTTATTCATCAAGGATTTTTAAAGGTACAAAACTTCACTGCTTATAACCAAACAAGACTGCATATACATACGCCACCCCAGACATCTCAAGGGAAAATGATTAGAGTTTTAGTATACCACAATTCTCCCTTTTTATCAAACAAAAAATAATTATGCATTTTACCAAAGTGCTGAACCACAATATTTAAGCTAAAAGAACTTACTCAAAAGGTTCAACCCAACATATAGAGTATGTGTCCATTTGCATGAATTTTGCTCCCTTATATAGCATACATACAGATATATCAAAACAGCTTTCAGTTTTGACACCAGCATTATTTACCAGCATTATTTAGCATATTGTTTTATCATGTGAGTTATGCTTATTCTGTGACATGTTGAAATGTGTTTGCTTTTTTTTTTTTTGAATAATGTGGTAGCTTTGAACATGTACCTTAGAGCACTGTAAATGTTAACTAGCTGTAAAACAGAAACAATGACAATGGACTCTAACCATAGGATGTATGGTCCTAGCTCCAGAATTTGTAACATGGTTTTTATTATGAGTTATCTGGCCAGATAATTAGCAGTTGTCTATATCTCAACATACAGGAGTAGAACACAAACCAATTTTATTTTCTAATTGTAACCTCATCACTGGCTTGATTCTTTTTCCAAGTTCACTGAAAAATAAGAGTAATAAATGTACATTTTCTTTTTCTCCTTATCTTTTCCTCCAATAGAAGAGTGATGAACTAAAGAATGGGCAAATGTTGGCTAAAAAAAGGCAAAATGATACAGATATTTTACTAAAAGTGATAGTCACTCTAATCAACACCTCAATAAGAATTACTAATTTTCATAATTGAGATTGAACATAATAATCTCAAAATATAGAAGACACCAGTAGTAATACAAGAAAGTTTTCCATGTGATCTCTTCCATTACTGATCTCAACATGTGAACTATTAAAAGGCTTATTTCAGGAAAGAATTTTTACTCTTACATTTAAAAAAGAGAATCAGTGTGTATAGTTTCTCACTTCTTTTTTCATATCCTAAGTATTTCTCCATTAATATTTGTTTGGGTATGTTGAATGAGATGAGTGTTTGATAAAAAATATTTGCTCCAATGAATAATCCAGACTTTAAAATATGTTACTAATTTGAAATAGTTTATTGAGTGGATTCATTTGAATCAATGACAATTTAAAAACAAATATAATCATGCTAGCACCACCTTAAGTCATTAATTACAGTCTTCCATCCCCTGATTCTGTGTTATGCTCGCATGGTCAGTTGCCTCTCTTGACCTTCAATTTCTACATTTTGCAAATGGAATAAATGCTTAGCACTACAGTACTTGCAATTCATACTCTAGAGGCTAGAATAAGTGATAGAGAAAATGGAGATTTTTTTTTTTTTTTTGGAAATGCTTTTAATATCTTGGAAGGAAATGCTCTAGACCTGAACAGCAATTGATGAAGAACCTGTAGTAAATAAAGTTAATTGTGTTTGCTTCAGTATCTGTGAAAAAAGACAGTTCTATCAATTGTAATAATCCAATTTTTTGAGTGCACCAATGTGATAATTCAATAAGATGTTGAAAATATATTTTTCAAAGATTTATTTATTTATGCTTATAGAACTGGGTACAGGCCAGAGGTGTGGTGGGTGAGAGGATTCACCAGAAACAGAGTGGGGAGCAGAACAGGCAGATGTACCGAAATACATTGCTGAGGGGAGCAGCTGGTGAGTCAGGAGAGGTCTGGAACACCATGTGGGTCAGCTTCCTGGCCAGGGATCAAACTCCTGCTGCAGTGGCTTCAGAGAGTTTCATAATGCAGTGCTTTAACTTGTTGTGCCACCAGGGAGAGTCCTGAAAATAATTTTTAAGTCGACCTCATGAATTAGTAGTGCTCTATAATGCCTCAGACATCAAGGTTTTCTAGTTCATGTTACACACATTTTAGTCAACTACATGAAACCAAAGACAAAAAATAAAAATGAAAGTGTTGCTTTGACTTGAGCATCTCCCAACTAGAATTTAGATTGTCATTGTCTCTTCATTTACCTGAGTCTACAGTATTGTAAGCACATATTCAGTGAATGCTAATTGGAACATGTTGTAATAGGCTTCTTTACACTTGCAATATGAACAAAGTCTAATGACTTACATCTCATAGACTATGATCAATTAATGTTAGAAAAAGCTTTATTTTACTTGGATTCAGTAATAAACCGCTATTCTAGAAGAAAATGGCTCAATGTCCTAATATTTACAACCTAGAACTTTAAATAACATGTTTTTTAAATAGCCCAAATTTCAGCAAGAGGTTCATGACCTTTTTAATTGTATAGGATTTATAGCTGTCACTTCTTGTAATAAAGAGAATAGGAGAATATTATCATGTTATGATAATTGGTCTCATTTTTTCTTCAACATGACCTGTCTTTCTGTTCCTTAACTGGTTGTTGACAAGCTTGCATTCATTTGTTCTTGTTCCCTTAGTTCTCATTTACCATTGAACACAAAACTCACTCCAGAAGTGAAGGCATTAGAAAATTGCTCAGATATGATTTATTATTTGTGATTTTTGGAGCAGCAAATCAAGCATTTAGTTTGTGATTTCTTATGATCAAATGGAAATCCACTTTGTCAGTCACATAAAGTTTGAATACTCCTTTATTTATCTGGCATGGATGATGGTATGCAACTCCAGATGAAACAATTACATCATGGCAAAGCTTATTTTTTAGATGTTGGCTTCTCCTGATTACCATAGTAGAGAAAGGAGCAGCGCTCTAGAAACATGATTATACAGCTAGATTCACTGCTTCAGCCATGACCCATAGTACGTGCTTGGCTATCTGTAGCTATGGGCACAGCTAAGAAAAGAAGAAAATTCACTTAACCTTTCTCAAGTTGTTATAGTCTAAAGTGGAATAGCTAAACTTCTTTCCTAAGTGCTAAATTCTTTCTCCCACTGAAGTACAAAATAGTTTCTGTGAAATGTTTTTCTCTCAAGGACAGCATAAGGGGGCAGGAATGTTTTAGTAAGTAATATAATTTACAGCTCTTTTGCAGTGATCAATGAACACACAAAACTAATATGAAAACTGCCTATTTCAAATACTTAAAAGCTCCAGGTTCAACATATTTGTTAATTTCCCTCCTGATTTCTCTTTTGCCCAGGATTCCACTCTACCTAATTCACACTCTCAAGATCTAGTATTCTGCTACTTAATTGTGTATGAAGAGTTTTTCCTTTAGGTGACATATTGCATCAGATTCTGAAATAGGAGTGTCCTTTCTTTGAGTCTATAAGGATAAATCAACATTAATGGACCACAGCTATTAACATAAAGCTAGAAAAAATATGTCCACATACTAATTCAAAAAATTTATTTTTCTTACACAGGCGCTATTGTCAGATTTACCTCCTGAACTAGAAGAGATGGATTTCAGTCATGCCTCGCCAGAGCCTGATGATACCTCATTCAGTGTGTCTTCTTTATCAGAGAAAAATGCCTCAGACAGTTTGTGATTTAAAGAAGAACATGTGATACAGCCTTTAGGCTCCTTACCAGGTGGCATTTCAAGATAACTGCATAATGTTGCCATTAAATTCTTCAGTTGAAAATATGTCGTTGAAACCAGTGTATTTTGTGAAGGATGGATAAGATATAATGGCTACAGTGCAAAAAAATGTATCTGAAATTTAAAGGCATTATCTGAGAGTTTTTTGCAAACTGATGGAATTCTGGAAAATATTACATTTAATTTCGAGGAGTTTACCCAAGAAATTAATGTGTAATTTCTAAAAGATTTGTATTTTTTTTATGAGAAAAACTTAGTTTTATTAATAGTTTTGGCCAGTTCCACAAAAATAAAGGTATTTCAGCATTGAGTATCAAGTTACTGAAGGTTGTTTAATCTTGCCTTTGTAGCCATTACATCTTTCTTATTCTCTACTTTTCTTATCAGGCACATAATACTTATACTCAGGAATGTGGACTGAAAAGTGAAAACAAAACTTAAAAGAAGATTTAACCTGGATAAGTCCTGGGATTTATTTTTCAAACCCTATGAGGATTTGGCTTAATCTAATAATTAAAAGTTGAAGTGGTAATTAGTGTATAATTGTAAAATGTTGATATCCTTGCATTTTCCAGCCCAAAATTTGACTTATGGAAAAGTAATTCAACAGTATGAGGTCAGATAAATAATATTAAGTGTACAGAAACAAAATACTGTAAAAGATTAGTTTTAATGGGAATTTTTCGTTACTGCAAATGACAAATATTGATAAGATTCACGTTCTGTTAGCAAATTTGTATAACTGAGTTCATTGAAGTGTTTCACAAATATTACAAGTCTGTCACTGTCTCCATAATACATTTTCAGTTCTTACATTTTATGAAACAGCACTCTAAGGTAAGCCACTGAGTTTATTTTGTATCTAGATACTCAGCTTTGCCACAAAAATTGATTCATTTCCATGTGAGGCTTATACAGAGCCATCAGCCAAGGATAATATTCAAATACTTATACTACCTTTTGGTTGTAAACTAAATTTCTTTTTGTTTTCTGGAAACTCTCTGATGAGTACACTCCTAAAATGGACATATTACTCACTTCTGCTAAGTAGGTAGCAAATGACTATACATGGTAGAAAATTTTTTACAGACCCCCTCTTCCAGGGTAGTAGATGGCACTCAACACTTATACAAGGGAAAAGACCAGTTTCTTCTCAACTCAGTGTCATATATTTTCCACTTGGCAGATTTTCCATTTGGCAGTGTGTAATTGTGTTGTTTAGAGTAATTACTCTCTATACCTGAAAAATTAATGAAGGGGATATATAAGGTTTTTGGCCATGGAGTTCCTGGGTCAGATATTTTTGTAATTTCAAAACCAATTTTGAACTTGAGATTCACTGATACCAACTTTTGAGTGAGTGCTTTTACCTTGAAATGTCCCCTCCCCAAACACACAAATAGGTAAGGGTCACTGAAAATCCTTCATTTTTCCAGTTATTTGTTTGATTTAATATTGCTGCAATGCTACTGTTATGGTTCTTCTGTTAGCAGAAATAGTTCAGTGGTTAGACAGGCTGCCTTTAAACTGAGAGCCATATGATCCTCCGTAGTGCTTAGAACAACTTGCTGAAAAGTCAAATTCCATCCAGAGAAAGGAACACTGAGTTACCAAACCTTATATTAGGATTAAATTTATTACTATTGCCAATTATTCTATGAGAAAAAGACTCCCTACCATATGCATTAATATGGAAATCATTCCTTAAGTCAGTGTGAACAAATTCAAGTTTCTCCTAGGTTCCCCTTTATTAATCGTAGAATTTATCTTTTAAATCTAATTTCTTCCACTTCAAATTAAGAATCTCTTTATTTTTTCTTGTTACAAAGTAGGAATAGGTGATTTCTTTCATATGTTTCTCAACTCTATGAATTGTATGTCGTGCCTCAGTAATTCACCCTTAAATGAAAATTTATTTAGACTCCTCCTGTAGTAATATTAGATTTGGCCTTCTCAGCATGTCATAAACTTCAAAACAAATAATTCCTTTAACTTTTAATGGATAATAATAAAACTTATTTCATTGTAAATTTTAACAGATTTAATGATTGTTTAGGTGTGATACCTAGAAGGAATCAGCCTATAATTTTGATGGGAAATATAAACTATTTCCTTAGTTCTATTTCAAGTTCTTTATAGTACCTGCAAAAATCATAACAAAGTACTTAGGAATCTTTTTGTCTGAGGATTTGTGTCTCAGCACCAGAATTATTTCTTTTGTTATCATTGGAATTAAAAAAAAACTTCTAACGTGGAATGTGTTTGTTCTATACCCAAAACCAAAGGAGATAACTGTATCCAGGGAAAAATATAATTGACAAAATGAAATCACGCCTTACAGAGTTTGAAAAGATCCCAAGGTCAAGTATTTAAAGTCTAGTATGAAGAAGGTATGTTTTTCACAAATACAGAATGAAATTGGTTGAGACATTTAGCACATGAAAAATAACAGTTTATCACTGCTTTCTGTACATCTTCATGGTGGAGTGGATTAAAAAAAAAAAGCTAGTATTTCTTCCTTAAGGACTTTGACACAATATTAAAATAGACTATACTGTTTAAAGCATCTTTCTCACAAAGGCAGATGTAAATGTATTTTTTTTCCTTTTAAGTATACTTTAATGTCTGCTTTCTGGGTAGAATAGATAAGGAGCTTCTACACAGGAAATGTGTATCTAAGAGCAATTGCCTTCCAAAATCGGAAGATTCTTTCCTCATTAAGCCAAGCTAAATTTAATCACATAAAAAATGGGTATTACAGTTGCCCTGGAGAATAGGAAAACTAGCATATACAAAGGAAACGTTAAAAGAAAGTGGCCTCTTTAAGGAACTGGAGATGTTTTCTTATAAGATCACTTGTCAAAAGTAGGACTTTTGTACTACTATTAGAATCATGCAATGGAAATATTTGTTATCGTTGGAGAAGAAAAAGCTGTAGTCCAATTATGTCAGTGCTCTGAAAACTCCCAAGACCTCAAAAGATGTCCAAGAGGACATTGCTCTCAAGGCAACAACATCTATTTTAGGACATTTTTTATAATCAAGTTTGTACATTTGTAAAAGGAAACATAAGAAGTATGTTCAAAAGAATTCTAGGCTCTAATATTTACTATGTTGCCTTCTTTTGGGGAGCGGGGATATTCAGCCCATTTCCAAGGAATAATTCCTTCATTTTAGCATTATAACTTATTATTTCAAAGAGAGATTTTGTAAACTTTAATACCTGTGCTTCTTCTACACTGCAGCAGTGGTTACCAGGAATACTATCTATTTTTAAAAATAGATTTCCATTCACATTCACGTCCTAAAAAATTGAAATTCTAATAGATTAAATTTCTAAAAGAATTATTAGTACCACCATATGTAGATGAGCAAGTGGATTTATTTTTGAAGCTGCTGTTATCTTTGGCAGACAGCACTTCACCAAGCTCTTCACCAAGCTGTTCTGTAATACAGTGGAAGAACCTTTTAACTTGTGACTCTACAGTCAATACCAGTGTTCAAAACTTACCTCTATTACAAGCAGATTCACTAAGGGGAGAGAATAAAATGATATGTTCATGGAAATATGATTGTCCCATTAAAATGTATACTGAGATATATTGCTCCACGTTGACATTTTATTTTTCATTAAATTGTTGAAAATTCCTTTTAGCAATCTTGCATCTCATTTTACTGGCACTACCTCTGAAACATACTATCACCTTTAAATCACATCAGATTGTAATGTGAATTTTCATAGGATTTTTATTTAAACTTTTATAGAGGCAATAAATGATTTTCAACTAATAGACATCTGTTTCTTTTAATTTTTTAAGTCTTTATGTTGCAATCATTGATACCCTTTTAAAAATAAATTTTCCTTAATATAAAAAGTTTCTGATAAAAATCTTTTTGAATGTAGAGAATAATAAGATATTGGTGGTGAGAGAAGAGAGAACATGGGTTGTACAAGCGAAAATTTGGCTAAATTCCAGTCTACATTTATATCATCCTTAATTAATTTTACTTAACATTGAATTAATATGACACCAATGGGATATATCAGAATAAACAACATATTTGTCCACAATAGTATACAAAATGTTAAAACTAGCATACAAATCACCCCAGGATAAATGAAATTTGATTTCTACAATCAATTTTTTAAATGGTGGAGTTATAACTGTTAGAGTGCAACCCAGGGGTAACGGGGAGCCCCAAACTGTTAAAGGGTGCATGCTTTAATGTTGTTCAGTCATCTAATGCCCATAGGCAAAGGAAGCAGACTCAGTGTAAAAACATCTTTAATAGCATTAATGTGCACAGAGAGGGAAGAAAAGAGAAGACATTCCTAACAAGTTTCCCAGTAACTTGGGTAAATCCTTCCCCTACCCAAATTACCCAACCCTTCATGAAATACCCAAATACTCTCCCTGATGCAAGGCCACCGAGATCCGAAAGTTTCCCACAAATCCCAGACACCCTCTAGCCCTGCAGTGAAGAAACACACAAAAAAGGGGCAGGCAACTTGAAGAGAAGGAGAGATATAAAAATACAAATCAGGATGGTGGCTGCCATTCTCTCTGCTAAGGACAATCCCACCATGTGTATGAAACCTACTGGTCTATTCCAAGCATCTCTACACGTGGCTCTTCTACATGTCTCCTTCAAGTCCCAGAAGCAAGCTGCAAGGCTCACCAGCCTTCAGTGTTAGATTCATTCATCTCTGTCCTAGTCCTAGCACCTTCCTTGCTTAGTAAATTTGGTTTATGTAATCAAAGATGGCTACATGGAAGTGGGTCCTACATGTCAGTTATGACACTAGTGAAAAATGGAATTGGCAATGAAGTATTTACAAATGTTTTTTCAATTTTGCTGCTAAAAATATGAATTTATTGATTTTCTATATATATTGATTTTCATATATATGTATACAAACATATGTGTAATTTGTATATATACATATTTACATAATGAAGTACCCATTATTTTATATCCTTGTTAATTGATTTTCACAATATAGATTTCTACACATGGGTGTGGTCACCATAGCTTTTTTTTTTAGATTTATTTATTTATTTATGCATACAGACCTGGGGTACAAGCCAGAGGTGCGGGGGCAGTGAGAGGCTTCACCAGAGACAGAATGGGGAGCAGAACAGGCTGACTGATGAAGTACACTGCTGAGGGGAGCAGCAGGCAGGTCAGGAGAATTCTGCCACGCCATTTGGGTCACCTCCGG